TATTAAGAAGCTTGCAAGAAAACAGGAGTATGTGTGCGAGAGAGGGAGAGAAAGATTTTCAACTTGTGTGCTGGGAATGAAAGATCAGTTGCAAGGGTGCTTAGAAACTCCAAGTATTGATTTGGTGTCTGTATTCCCCAGCCAACAACTTGCTCCCGGGGTTCTGGGGAAGCAGAATAGACTTTGGCAACCCATGCTTGGCTCTGAAAAAAAAAAAAACCTTGTTTGTGACACAGGCTTTACATTCTTGTCTTTTCAGGGAGCTGCCTGGGTTAGCCAAGAATTACGTCATGCGGATGCTTTTTCTGGAACAACCTCTTCGTCAGGCTGCCGTGGCCCTGTGGGTGAAGAAAGAATACGTCAGGTAAGTCTGTAGCTCAAGCTCTGATTGTATAGCAAAGTAAAAAAAAAAGCTTACTATTCAAATGAACATTGTAAGAGTGAAAGTGTACATTGCTGTGAGATATCCAGTAAGCAGAAAAATAAATTTAAATATAAAACTAAAATTATTTTGAGGACAAATAAATATAGTTTACAATCTCACCGGCACCGTTGCTGATGGTAAAAACTTTTCCGCTGACGTTATCTTTTCTCCTACTGGTTCTTTTCCCGGTAGAATAATATAATAAAAAAGGAAAGCAATGAGTATTATCTCCTGTCTGTCAATAAATCAGAAGACCAGTTGGTTGTGAGCAATAATGTTATTTTTCTATAATGTATGAATAAAGATTATGTTCATTTTTATTTATGTAATGAACTTGTTCACAGCCTCATTTACAAAGACAACTTGAGGCATCTTACATACTAGGATTAAAAACAGGAAAAACCCTCAAAAGCCACAACAACAACAACAACAACATAATAATAACAATGCCAATGAATAATAGTAACCAACAATACACCAGGGAGAAAAAGACCTGTAACAGACAAGATTCCAATCTAATTATTAGGGAGTGGATCATAACCCCCACTATCCTAGGGCCTATTGGAAGATGTAAGATATTGGGGGGGGGGGTTCTTTAAAGAGGTACATCACAAAACTATTCCATGCCTATCTATGGAAAGATTGTTTAATTGTTCAAGAGGGCGCCTAATGTCTCTCTCTTCTTTTTGGTAATCAGTTATCTCCTTTTCCTTTTCCTCTTTTTACTATGCCCAATTGCCCGTAGTCTGTCTGTCTCCAGAACTGACCATCTTCCTCTGAGAAAAATATCTCCAGGCTAATCTTTATCTGTTTCTTCCTCAAAATCTGAACGTGGAGGCATGTTCTGCACTTCCTAAGTTCACGATGGACTCTTGGCTTTCAGGGAGCAAGAGGAGAGCTCAGATATCTTGCTGGGACTGCGCCTTTGGCACACGCAGCTGCTCCCAGGGGGCCTCGAAGGGATTGTCTTGAACCCCATCTTTAAGGAAAACTTGCGCATTGCTCTTCTGGGAGGGTGAGTGAATGCCACCTGCATACATGTGGTCGGAGGATCAAGGCAGAGGCTCACTGAAGTTAGTGCACTGGCTGAAGATAGGGGTTCTCTAAGTCCTCTGAAAGGGGTGTATTTTGGGGCCCTGCAACTTCAGGAGTCAGGAGCAAACTAGCTACTAATGGGCCAGATGCAAATGTGGGCCAAATTTTGTGCCTCTGTTTATATGATCCAGTGCAAAAACAGCAGAACGACCTGAAAACTGTGCTTTGGCACTTTCCGCTGTGCATGCAGATTCTTTTCATGGTCTCTTTTAGCCATAGTTTAGCATGAATGCTCATGCTAGCACAAACACTTTATTTATATTGATTGCAATCCTTTTTGTAGGATTATATAAAATTCTTTTTACACGACCCAATACAAAGATTCTGGGCAGTGTAAAAAGAAAAATATGAAAGAGGCCCCTAGCAACAATACATAATTAAACCAGCATTAAACAATAACTAAAGAAGAAAAGGTAACAAACATGGTTGCAATCTAACAGTGACTGGGATTTGCACACTATGTGTTCCCTGTTGCTTCCTCATGGTCATGGAAAGCAAAACAAATCATTACAAACTATACGATTTGAGGGAATTTTCAAGGCATGCAGCTTATTGGATTATGTAGTGTAGAATATTTGAAGAGCAACCAATTAACAATATTTGGTGGTCAAGTCCTACCATCTCCTTCTGAATCAGGGGAAGGAATTGCTTTTGCACAAGATCCATTGTGATCTGGTTTAAGAATCCTTGCTCGTGTTCTGGACTAGGGCATTGGTAGTGCTATCCTTAAGTTACTTTCTTCATAGCCTGTAAAGAATAATAGTGTTTCTTGCTTCTCAATTTTGTGTCTGTAGAGGTAAGGCCTGGTCTGATGATACTAGCCAACTGGGCCCGGATAAGCATGCCCGAGATGTCCCATCTTTGGACAAGTATGCAGAGGAAAGGTGGGAGGTGAGCATTTTGGCTTGTCTAGGTATCCTGATTGGTTAGGGATGCATTATTAATCTTAAAAAACTGACTTTGTTGCAGGGTCCTCCTAGCCCTTGTCAGTAGAGTCACCAGGACTGCTGCTTCCTCTCCTTCCTTGTCTGGGTTTAGTTCAAAAGCCTCCCGCTCAGGAAAGTAGCAGGTTAATCATGCAAAAGGAAGATCTTCTGATGTGGTTTAGTTAACTTTCTTTTTCTTGGCATTTTTAATTTTCTTGGAATCTGAGTATTTGAAATGGTATGTTTCCTCCTGTGGAGGATTAAGCTCCTGAATCTTCCAGTATGAATTGACTCAAGAGGGAACACCATCGCATTTCTTTTTACCAGCCCCAGGATGGGGATCCATGTTTCTCTCCCAATTCCTTACTAACTCTCCCCTTATATACTGTGGTCTGTCTGGTCTTTCAGTAGCATTTGCAGTTGCTTATGGGTTCATAGGTTCAACTGAGAGTAGCTGTCCTTCACAAGCCAGGATCCCATAGTTGGGTTCTGTCCTAGAATTCTGTTGGGAATCTTTCAGTCCCTCCACACCTTAAGGCAATATGATGAATGGTGAGTGGAGTTAACTGCCGTTTGTTGAGCCTCCCATGATTGGGTGAGCCCTTCTTTACATATGCTGTGTAGTGCACAATGAACTGATTTTACAAAACACTACTGTGGATGTAGTCCCTCAGAGATCACGGTCTTCTTCTCTTTCTCCACATTGTCCCATTTAGGTCATCCTGCATTTCATGGTAGGCTCTCCAAGTGCAGCGGTGAGTCAGGACCTAGCTCAGCTGCTGATTGAAGCTGGCCTGATGAAGAGGTAAGTGTCACAGAGAGAGACAGACAGACAGACAGACAGACATGCAGGTCAACTCCATCCCAAAATATCTCTGTCACCCCTAACAAACCCCATGCTTCTGTTTTAAGAACAGTTGAGAATCCTCAGATTTTTTTAGGAGAAAAAGGACCTCTGTACAGAAAGACAGGGGTTGCATTCAGACAATATGTTTACCCTCTAACCATGATGTACTGCAGCAGTTCTCAAACTGTGGATTAGGACCTTCCTACTGAGGAGGTTTTGAGCAACTGAGGGAGGCACCATTTTTTAAAATCCTGATCCAGCTTGTCTAGGTAAAGTGAGGAGTTTTGACAGCAGTCTTGCTTTGCTTGCAGAGAGCAAGAATCCTTGTGATGTATACATTAAAAGAGTGGTATATTTATTTCTTGCCCAAGCAGGACTCCAATCATTAGTTTTATTCATGAGTAGCCACACAAATTCATCTGTAATTATAGGGGGTCACAGTACTACAGAGGGTGAGGATATTGGGTATAACTTTGCAGAACTAAGAATGACCTTCTCTTTTCTGGACTTTTCTTGGGTTACTCTTCTTCCCAGTAGTGAACCTGGGGAACCTCCCTGCATTACGTCCTCTGGCTTCCAGTTCCTGTTGCTGGATACTTCATCACAGCTGTGGTACTTCATGCTCCAGTATCTCCAGTCAGCAGAGGTGAGAAGAAGCAGTGACTGCCTGCCATCTCAGCTCTGGTGGTTCTGTCCATCTCTTGTTTCTGCTTCTAATTCCCTTTTTTTGTTCTCTCCGTCTCTCTGCATCACTCCCTACAGACCAGAGGCATGGACCTGGTGGAGATTCTTTCCTTCCTCTTTCAGCTCAGCTTCTCCACGCTTGGCAAGGTGAGAAGGGTAGAATAAGGTACTTCTCCCTTATCTGTGAGCCACATTTGTTGGTGGAAAGCTGGGGCATATATCAAGTTGACAACTGAGCAGGGTAGTTATTGCCAATGGGGTGCTCTGCAGAAGTTTAGGACACTCTATGCAAGGGAGAAGAAGGTATAGAAGAGATGATGATGGTGATGATGATGATGATGATGATGATGATGATGATGATATCCGTTCAATCATGTCCAATTCCCAGTGATTCAATGGACCAACTCTCTCCATATTTTCTGATCTTGTACGGCTTCCGCTCTTATGCTCTGGCTCATGTCGGCTTTGATGGTATCTAGCCACTGTGTTTTTTGGCAGCCTCGTTTCCTTTTATTGCTGACCATTCCTGGCTTAACTGCTTTTTCCAGTGAATTTGATCACATGACATGGCTGAAATAAGTAAGGCGGAATTTTGTGATTTCGCCCTCCAGCAATATGTCTGGTTTTATACACCCTGGTACTTGCTTGTTTGTCACCTTTGCTGTTCAAGGAATGCGCAGGAGCCTTCTCCAACACCACAGCTCGAACGAGTCAATTTTCTTCTTGTCTAGTTTTTTCACGGTCCAACTTTCACAACCGTAGGTAGCTATTGGAAAACATGGAAACGTGGAAGAGATACGTCCCATAATTAGACCACCTGAAGAACAGTACCTCTTTGGGGGAATTTCTCCATTCATTCCTCCAACATGGTTTGCAATATCACATCTTTATGGTATCCCTATTGTATTTTTTTTTTTTTTACATGAATAAGCCCCTCTGATCATTTTGGCTGCCCTTTGCAATATCCTAGTAGAATATGAAATATTCCAGTTGCAACTGCACTGTTGATATCTGTGAAGGCATTGTAGCTCTTCACAACCCCTACACAACATCTTGGGGGCCGGGGAATTCCCTTTTCTATTTTCAGCACGTGAAGCTGACATTTATAATGCCCTTTCCATTGGGTTTCAAGAGATGCTAGCTTTTGACTACTTGTGATGTCAAGGAAATCACTTGTGTTTATTATGTAATTACCAATGATGTGCAAAGTCCTGTATAGAACAGAAGAGTGGGTTACTCCTGAGTATGCGGGTTGGCAGTCTCTATTTGTAGTGGCTTAAGTAGGCTTAGAGGAGACATGGGTTCAAGTCCTTGCTTGATCACCAAAGCACTGGATCATTTTGAGCTAGTCACTCAAGCTTAGCCTGATCCCTACATTACAGGGTTTTTGTCATGGGTAAAATTAGCAGAAACTCCCTTGTAAGGCAGAAGCTTACAGAGAAAAAGTGAGAAATGAATTTAGTAATGAAGAAAGCAGATGTTATGAATATAACAGAAAATGTGTCCCTCCCATTGCTAATCATCATGAATGAAAGGATTGTTGTATGTAAGGTTGGTTCATGAAACCGAGCATACTGGCTGTGATTAACACTAACCATGCTCCTTGAACTAACCCTAATTAAAGTCTCACATTTAGATTGCACACATTATTGAGTTACTAAGCTAAACACTAGGTGATGTTGAGAGGCGCAGGGCCTTACAAGTGTAGAACCTGGAAGATTGGAGCAAACTGCTGAAACAGGTATTTGTTCAGTGCAGAAAAGGTGCATTTGCTAAATGCTCAATTTAAATTATGACTTCACAAGCACAGCTTAATTATTCATGTCTTTGTTCAGGAAACAAAGCATGGCTGATGTCTGCAGAGAGCCATGTGTTGGCTTGTATGCATTCATTTCTTAATAACTGCAGCCTCAAGTAATGATTCTTACAGGTAAATCTGTAGAAAAACTCTTGCATTGCACCCCAATGTAATTCAGTTGACCATTCATAGCATGGTCATTGAACTACTGGTCATTAAACATTGAATAATCAAACGATACGTGCAACATACTATACCTGCCTGTGAACATATTCTTTTCCAATTTCTTTATTCTCAGGATTATTCTGTGGAAGGAATGAGTGATTCTCTTCTGAATTTCCTTCAGCATCTCCGGGAATTTGGCCTGGTGTTCCAAAGGAAGGTACGACACTGTAGGGAGATGATATGGAGTTGAACCAGACTTTAACAAAAGACAAGTTGCTGGTTGTTAGAGGTATTAAGGACTTCTTCAAGGATCTGGAGCTTGTGAGATAGAATTGTAGATTTGTCTTCTGAAAGATGAAGTTAGGCAGCTTTGAACTTGCTGGAAACTTGTTGCTAATGTCTATCCTTCTTTCTTTCCAGAGAAAATCCAGGCGTTACTATCCCACCCGCCTAGCTATTAATCTTTCCTCCGGCATCTCGGGTACCACGGTGGACACTCATAACCAAGGCTTCATTGTGGTGGAGACTAACTACAGGATCTATGCATACACAGGTCTGACGCTGGAATCCCATGTGCCCCATCCATACTGGTTTATATCCTTCAGAATATTCTTCTAATTCAGGATTGAGAATTAGTGCCTCCAATCCATTTTTTTCAATCTTAGCTGTAGGTCACAAAGCCACTGAGATTTTGTTTTACTAATTGGGGGAAAACAGTCCTTAATTAGCCAGGATTACTGTCTTTATTTGATGTAAGACAATATTTCTCAAACTTTCTGGTGTCATTATATAATTCGACATTTGAAAGAAAATGCAGGGACCACCCCATTAAAATACTACCACCCCCACTAAGTTTTTGCCTTTAAGAGCACCTGAGTTTCCATTCTTTGAAAATACTTGCCTCCCATCCTGTCTGTTTTAAAAGACATCTTTTAGATTAAACTTTGTACCAAAAGGTTAGGGTTTTAAATTTGAAATTAGGTATTTATTTGCCTCCGGGGGGGCAAGATGGTGAGTAGGCTCTGGCCAGCTGATGGTTGGAGACCTCCCCACATATACCGACAATCAGGTTTGGTTGGGAGAGGCTGTGGTGGACCACGTGATGGATCTCCATGGACTAGAGAGAGCCAGTGTAGTAAAACAGTGAATATCTAGGAACAGAGAGATCCAGGTTCCCTCAGGGAACTGTGGGCCAGTCCATCCCTCTCCGTCCAAGATCCAATGTGGTGGCATGGTGAAGATACTGGATTTGGAGTCGGGAGATTTAGGTTCTGTTCCCCCCTCAGGCATGGAAATTCCTTAGGTAATCTTGGGCTGGTCATTTTGGCCTCAGTTATGTGCATGGAGAAAACCAGTGGGAAAAAGCTATATGAGGGAACATTCCCCATTAGGATTAGTGTTAGACTTCCCTTTGTTCTGCTCAACCTACCCCACAGAGTTGTTGCTGTGGAAATAAAATAGGTCTTGTACCTATACAGCACTGCTTCACAATGGAGGCGGTGCACAAGTTGCTTGATAGATAAGCGTGGGGATGGCTGGTCCCTTAGAAGCCTTTCATCTGCAGCTTAGGAAACCATCACCTTCTTGGACTTTTTCTCTTTTGGTAATGTTTTGTACAGTTTTTATGTCTGTTGCAATTTTATATGTATTTATTATTTTAATGGATCATGTGAACCGCCCAGAGTCCCCCGTGAGGGAGAGATGGGCCGAGATAAATTTAATAAATAAATAAAAATAAATAAATAAGTGCTTGCATAAATCAAACTAACGCTACTGGTGGTCCCTAGTCCACTTGGAGGATCTGTTGCTTGTCAAATGTACTTTTGTTGGAAGCTGCAAGATTGGACTAATTGTAGGAGGAGAGCCATGTGTGTCTACGGTGGCCAAAAGGCAGGAAGAGTCTGGTAGCACCTTTTCTGACTAACAACTTTTATTAGTAGGCCTAAGCTTTTGTGAGCTTCATCAGATGGAGTGGCTAAATTGATATAGGGTTTAAATTGAGGTGATGGGGGGGTGAGGGGAGAGAAAGATAAATGGATTGTGTAGATGCAGGTTACGTGTCAATCAGCTTGCCTATGCTGGGCTGGCTGGGAATGATGGGAATTGTGGTTCAATCTATCTAAAGCAGTGTTTCTCAACCTTGGCGGCTTTAAGATGTGTGGACTTCAACTCCCAGAATTCCCCGCTGGCTGGGGAATCCAAGGCCTGCTGGGGGATTTTTGGGGGTGTAGTTCACACATCCTTAAAACGCCCAAGGTGAGAAACACTGCTTTAGATAGATTGAACCACAATTCCCATCATTCCCAGCCAGCCCAGAAT